GCCAGAAATATGCTTTTGAAATAAATATGCTAAATATGTATGCCTAGAAAATGACACTGCAGGTCGTCAGACTTCAGATTATCATTATCAATAAAAGTATCACCTTACCTTTGTACAGTGCCTATTTACAAAGTAGTCTCAACATCATCTCATATGCTCCTCACAATACCCCTGTGATAAGGTATTCATCCCATTTCATTATAAAGGAGCACAAAAGCTGAGGTCAAATGACTAGCCAGGTCTAACTGCTGGTTAGGTAGTCTTCTACCACTTCAAAGATTTTTCAAAGTTGGGAGGTCTTAACGTTTACTTTTATTTTCATGCAGAATCCTTAAACCCAGATTAATAAACTTTTTTTAAAGTTGATTTTCTGATTTTCTTAGCAAGCTAAAACAGTAAACCACACTTTATTTTTCCTTTGCTAGTTGTCATACCATAGCCTTCTGGTAGGTCTGGAGGAGTATGTAAATGTGTCCTGCTCATGTAATTTCTATGCCGTTGTGACCTGACTCTCCTCTCCGCCAGTCTGGGATCCGAAGACTGTCCGCATGTTGCACCATTTGTTCCACTAATTGGAGTGTTCTCATCAACAAGGCAGCTAAGAGGTCTGCCAGGACTAGAATATTCAGATGCCGGTCTATTGAAAATTAACAAGGAAAAGAAGTTATCAATTTAGATATCAAAAGTAGAGTCCTCTAGACAATGTATATACTGCAATAACAATCACTTATCACATAAGAAAATGGAATGACTAATACAAATATGATTTTAAGAACTCTGAGTTAAAAGCAAGCCTGAAGTCTCTAAGCATCAAAGAAACCCAAGTGATAAGCATGTCCTCAATTATGAATTTATTTTATATAAAAATCCACATATATTGTAGATGTGAGTACTGGCTTGCAAAGCACTACTTGATCTAGTTACAGCCTACCTCTCAGACCTGATTTCCCACCATTCTCCCTCCCACTCTGCTTTTGACATACTGATTCCTTTCCTGTTGTTCCTTGAACCTGCCAAGGTCATTCTACCTGAGAGCAGTAACTCTTCCTTCCACGTGGAATACCCTTTTCTCCTACTCTCCCTAGGCCTGGCTTCATCATTTACATCAGTTTACTACTGCCTCCTAAGTCACCCAGTCATTTGATAGTGTGCGTCAACTTAGTTCCTCAGCACAGCAATTATCTCTGATATTTTTCCTGTTTATTTGCACCCTTGTTTTTGTCTGTCATCTCCCACTAGAATATTTATTGAGAAGGGAGTGTGCCTAGTTTATTCCCTACTATAAATATTCCAAGTACCTAGTGTTTGACATATATATGTGCATAGCTCAATAAATGTTTACTGAATGAATATAGTTTGTCTCTTAAAGGAGTTTCCAGTCTACTGTAGATGTTAGAAAATAAAAGAATAATCAAGAGTTCATTTTTAAACTAATATTTAAAACAATCAACTTTTTATACCTGCAGAAATTAATTTTAGCAGTTAAATGAATTAAAAGGAAATGAGCATCACTTAAACACTGACACAAGTACAAATTCATTTATGCTCAGATATAATTAAAACGGGTCCTGTAACTTCAATAAAACCCTTGGCAGTTTTATATTAGAAATGCAACTCTCAAATCAGCATTTTAAAAAATGGCAACATGAACTAAGATTTTTCCTGAGAATCATAATGGAATAAAGAAAACTTTGTGATTCAATGAATTAAACAATGAATCCCCAATAAATAACAGTAGGTATAGCTAATGAGAAGCATTTCATATTCTATGCCTGGTGCCAGTCTTGCTCAGAAGGAAAAAACCAAGGCAAAACATAATACTGAGCAGAGATGATAAACTTTGTTCTTACTTTAAAAGGGGCAAGGAGCAAGATTCAGCCACTTACCCTATTTGTTTACAGTTACTTAAAAAGCACCTATTTGCAGTTTCCAAAAATTGTCTTCCATCCTGATGTCTTTATACACCAAACTTCATAAAGAAAGGGACTAACCACCTCTAACCACCTCCTTACCCCCACTCTAAGTTAGATGCTCCTCCATGTGGTCCCAGAGCATCTGGTTATCTTGATCACAGACCTTACTAGACCAAGAGAAGATAATCACCCCCCCATGTGACTTAAAGAATGGAGACCCTATGTGTGTATTTTGTTACAGCCATTCAATAATAGATTCAAACATAAACTCAAAAAAATAAATTAATAGAAGATTCCCAGAAATAAGATGATGGCTCAACTTATTCATTTAACTCATTCAATAAATATTTATTGAGTATCATTATAGATCCTAGAGCTACAGTAACAGGAGGACCCTGTCAAGCAATCTTTGTTGAAGATCTATAGCAGTACACTCCCAAGGGAAGAAAAATCTAGTAAAGCTGACAGATAAAACAGAAAGGGACTTCAAGAGGGTGACTAGCACAGACCTTGGGAAACTATTTGTATGTTCTTACCGTGTTGGGCGTTCCCATTGTGTAGTTCTTGTAATGTGGTTTAGATACTGGATTCTTCCAGAGGCGGTTCGCCTTTCTTCCCAGCTTATATAAAAATATTGAAGGATAAGGTATTAATATGTATTAATAGGAAGCTGGAACACAGAATGTTTTCAGCATAATAAACAAGCCAGTAATACATCTGTTGTTATAAATCTGGAATGCCAAATTGAAAAATTAATTCACAGAATATAGAATTTTTTCACCTTACTTTAGAACTGCACCATATATTTCATGGAATTCTGAAGCTTCTAAAATATTTATACTGAGATGTGACAAATATTTTCCATCAGCCAAACTCTGAGAATGTTTTAATAATGTCAACACTGAAAGTATACTAATTCCTCTAGAATATTGTGGAAAATGGCTATACTAAAAACATATTTAAGCATAAAATTAATAAGGTCATGAAACTAGTAACCAGAAGACTAAAGATTGGAACCCAGGTGGCCTAAAAATAAAAATTACACATAATTTTCTTAAAAACTTAAATTTCACTAGAAAAACATAAAAGCTTTGTAAAGCATTCAGCCTTCCCAAACTAATTTTTTAAAAATCAAGAATGCCACTTCTCTCAACTCTTTATTATAATTCATATAATAAAAAATAGACAAATGACTACAGAAGTGTAGTAATGTTAATATTTCTACCAAAATATTGGTAGAGGTTACATGGCATTAAAAAAGAGAAAATAGAGAGATGCTTAGGTTTTCCCCCCTGTGATTACAATTATAGTACAATTGTACTATAAGTTTAGGACAATAAGACTTACATTGCTGTACTCTCTCAATATTAGTTATTTCACTCTAAACTTCCCCTTCAAAAATATTATAATCTACCTCACATCCATAAAAGAGTTAACAGATCTAGAAGCTAAAGTGATCAATAAACAGTGAATTATAGCAATTTTTAACAGTTTAAATGAAATGAGCAAATACCATAACTTGGATATAAAATTTTTCACAAAAAAATAATTTCAGTCAAAACTCGACCATTTATACACATCAAATAGATACAATTTATTGCATGTAAATTATATCTCATTGAAGTTAATTAAAAATGCTTTGAAAGTTAAAAATAAAATCAGAAAAGTGTCAGTACTAGCATTAAACAAAGATAGAGTGCAATGATAAAGATCTGACCCTTGAAATAAAAACTTAGGTTTGGGTGTTCTGACTCTGCCTCTTACTATGTGGCTTTAGGCGAATTACTTAACCTTAGTCTCAGGTTTTTTTAATCTGTAAAATGACAGAGGTTAACAATAGTAGTAGCAGTAGAACTAATAGAAGCTAATTATTAAGCACTTATGTGCAAGACATTGTGCTTTATATGAATGACTTCATTTAACCTGCCCAACAGTTTATGGGGTATGTACTATTATTAATCATCCTCTTTTATAAAAGAATATAAACTGAAACTTATAGAACTTAAATAAATTAAGGTCATGAAGTCAGTAAGCAGAAGAGTAAGGACTAGAACCCAGACGGTCTAATCCTAGAATCACAAGCTATATACTGCCTTCCAAGATGCTATAAGAATTAAGTGATGTCATGTATATAAAAGTGCTTATAACAGTATCTGACACATACATGTTCAATAAATTTTACTATGTTATTATAATTAGTATTACCTAAATTCTCTATCCTATCCCTCTAAATAGAGCAATGTTTCAAATCCAGTACTTGTATGTACTGTTTTGAATAATTAATCAAAAAGTTGTTTTTTTAAATAGATAATGTTTACAGGAGAGTTACATTTTGTCAAGAAATTTCATTTGTCTCCTAGGCAAAACTCTTAAAAACCAAAATTAACACATTTAATTCATGGTTTCTTTTATAAATTTGTTGTGACAAGATCCTTCACTAATTTTACCAGTAGAAGGAAAATCTATATTCTGGAACTGATCATAGCAAATTTCTCAAGTTAAGTATACAATAAACACTAACTTATTTCTCATTCTTTTAAGGATATCATCTGTATATTTCTCTAATGATTTTAGTGATGTTAGCTTACCCGTCTGGTAAATCATTATCAAACAAACGACTGCAGTCCACAACTTGTCCTCCTGTGCCTATTCGGTCTCTGGACTGAAGACTTACTATTAAACAACAGAAATATTACTAAGATTCATAGAACTAAAAGGAACTACTTCAATCTAAAATTTCTATCTTTAGAAGACATTTGGCTTATTTTAATACTTTCGAATGAACTTTTTGGTCTCCACTAACATCTGTAATTTCTTTTCCTATAGTTTTTTCCCTTTAGGAGTGATATTACAATTTTACAGTTTTCTACACTTTACCATGTTCATAGCGGAGAGTCTAATTCATTTTTTACCACTGTAATGGTACAATGCAAAGTCACTCCTGCACTTAAGAAGCATAATACATTAAGAGCATATTCATGTACCAGAGTTTATCAAGCTCATATTAATTTGGATTTAACTCTTGATAATCCATCTTAAAAAAATACACTGGATTCTGGCAAGAGGGCAATCTTTGGATTCCATGAGTTTTAACAGTGTAGTATAAAACCACTCCTATAAACTTGGAATCAATAATAATAATGATAAACTTGGAAGCAGGAGATGTAAACACTAGAGCAGCCTCTACCAACTAGTTTAGCACCGTAACCTTGAACAAAACAATATACTTAAGATTTAGATAATCCCAATCTAAATAATGGGAAAGTTAGGTTAAATGATATCCCTGAAGCCCTTCTTTGTTGCTCTGGTAGTCTTTAATTCTGTTTTTGGCAACTCTCCCAAAAGATACAAGAGGTACAGCCAAACTTGACTATATCCCAATTTCTTAAAGAAGAGATTACCCCATAAAGTATAAGGACCCTTCATTCAAGGAAGGATCTCAAAATTCTGAAATCTTCCAGCTCTGTAAAAGTTTTGAAAAAAATCAGCAAGTTCAGAGCTCCTTTATATTAAGTCCCATTTATAAGAAAGAACACTGTAACCTCTTCAGTAAAGGTAAATATTGTATGAAAACTATACTAGAAAACTAATCAATTTTTATACAGACAAAATAAGTGAAATGCTTACCAAAATGCAATCACAGTAGAAACAATGTATTTTTTTGTTTAAATGACATTAAGGTTCAAAGCTAAAGAATTTCATGGACTCAATTTGTATCTCCAGAATGCTACATTACAGAACACCTAAACAATCTGTAGGTGTTTTTAAATGGCCTAATTCTAGCAATATATGAAATGAATCTTAGAAATACTATGTTTATCAAAGTACTGTCTATAATATTAAAACATAAGAAACAACCTAAATATCCAACAATAAAGGACTGGTTAAATGAATTATATGCCCACCATGGACTACCATACAACATTAAAAATGTTATAGAAGTGTAACCATGGGACCAAAAAAAGATGTTTATGATAGATTAAATCAGGTTACAAAAAATTTGCATGGCAGGAGTTCAAGACCAGCCTGAGCAAGAGCGAGATCCCATCTCTTGAAAAATAGAAAAATTAGCTGGGTGTGGTGGCATGTGCCTGTAGTCTAAGCTACTCAGGAGGCTGAGGCAGGAGGATCGCTTGAGCCCAGGAGTTTGAGGTTTCTGTGAGCTATGATGAGGCCACTGCACTCCAGCCTGGGAGAAAGAGTGAGACTCGTTCTCAGGAAAAAAAAAAAAAAAAAAAAAAAAATTGCATGGTATAATCTCATTTCAAGAAGAGGTATACATCAAGGTGATAACGATGATTATGTGTATTCTTTAGGTACTCTGTCAATATTTAGATTTTATTTTATAATAAAAAACTAAAAAACTTCACAAGGGGTGGAAAAGTTGAATAATAGTTTTAAATCCAAGGGAAAAGGTTTGTACCCCTTGAATTATCTCAATTTGGGAGGTTTTCCCCCACCTAAGGTAACAATTATAAAAAATGATAAAGCAAAGTGAACAAAGATGTTTACAAGTTTAAATGTTTTAACAGCAACAAATAACTTTAAAAATTCAATGATTAAGTAATGATATAGTTATATAATTCATCCTTTAAAAATCACTAATTATAAAGATTATATACAAATACTAAAAATGGTTATGGTAAGTGGAAAAAAGCAAAATAAAAATTTTATATTCACTGCAATTAAAAACAAAAATATATAGAAATACATGTAAATAAAAATACTAGAAAGGAATATATATTTTTTAAAGTTAGTCTACTAGTATACTTTTCTTCATTTTCCAAAAAGATGTCATAGGTGTCTATTTACAATTATTTGTAGAGGGCTAATTCTGCAAGAACTGGAACTCCTTATTTTTGAATGAGAGAACTACAGCATCATGTTCGAGTCCAGCCTGCCTTTCTCTTATTAAGGGTCCTATTATGAACACCGGTGTCACACAAGAGCTTTAAATAAATATACATATACACACACATTCACAAGCATACTTAAAACATTTGTTTTTTTATGTAGTATACTCCAGTCAGTATATTTCTAATGTCTAACAAAGGAAAGTCTATTTACATAAATGAAAATAGTACAACTGTTTTGTTACTCCTAGACATTAATTGGCAAGCATTACGTAACATACCAAATCAAATACAGTAGGAAGAATTACATGTAAAGTCTTGAATTCCAGGATTTTTGAAATTTTTTTTTTTACTCCCTTCCCAATCTAATAATTACAGGAATTGTCAATAATGTTGCAGGTATAGATACTTCCCTGGGACAACCACAATAGGGCTTTGTTATGTGGCTACTCTGGCAGTTCCCTATGAACCCAATTCATTCACTGCCTTATAAAACAAAATCCTTCAAGTACTTTTGGTAACTAAAACCTCTCTGATGGGTTCACAACGAAATCATCTTATTTTATATTCTGCTTTATCATCACATGTAAGATTGCATTTTTCTTCTTTAAGAAGCCTCCAAGGTGCCCTCTTCAGTGTTCTTCCACACTATGAATCTTGATAAAAATCTCAACCCATCAATTCTTAAGAAAGTCTCAGGAAATTTTACATCAAGCCTTTCCCTCTAGGTTAATTCAAGATAGCCTACCAGTCCACTAAGTGCCTTAGGAGTAAGGTAACAATTTCTCCCTTTTTCCAATCAGTGTTATACTACCATTGCTCATTCTATTTTTTTCAACAAGCATAGATTTTAAAACTGAAAAGCATCAAAGAGTTCAAAAGAATATTTTCTTCTTACTGAAAAATTAGTTTGAGAATTATTTTCAGGAAACTTTACTATCATCTATAAAGTTTATCTTAGCAATCTACCATATCTGAATACTTTAAAAGAATTCCTTCCTAAAGTATCACTAGTTCTTCCCAACATTAGGAGTTACTATTTTTTTGGACATTATATATAAAGTTTTTAAAATTAAGTTAACCTAGATCCTAGGTTCACTGTTTGTAACATTTTACATGATTCGTATTTGATTCATGCTAATACAATGACACCATAGTTATGATATTTTGATCTATTAAGGTACTTAGACATTAGGTCAGATTGAATGAGGCCAAAATTCATGTAACTGTAAATTCCACACTTACCTACTATCTGCCCTCTTACTGTATCATTGTCATTTGGCCCAAGTTTACACAGATCCAACCTCTGATCTATTTGAAATAAACCAAAAGAAAGCAATCAAAAAATTAGCTGGTATCAGAGATTCTAATATCTATAGAGTGACAGTAAATTTCTACAATTCACTAGAAATCATATGTACCATATAAAGAATTACTGTTTTAATTACAAAGCAAATGTTTAAAATTCTCCAACCGCATATACATCTAGTACAAATGTCTCAATAAATGCCTGAATTGATAAATTCAGGCTTC